ATTGTAGCCCGCAGATCAGAGCGCTCGCTAGTATTACCTCATGCCATCTGGGCAGAGTTTCAACATTTCTGACATTATTCATTCTCCTGAATGTGCTTCAACCAAACTTCCTTTCTGTAAGAGAGGCGTTTATAAGAAATGGAAACAGCTTGCAGCCAGTCCCGCTCCCTCAAGGGCTACTGACTGAGGAGCTGCTATTTTGTGTTGTTACCCTGTGCGGTTTGGAAGGCTGCTACTCCAGCTCTGCTCCTTAAAATCCTGCTCTGCGTTAACCCTTTTCAGCCCGGAGAGCCCACAGGAAGAATGCGCACCGGCATGATACTGGGACAGTTGTCGGGTACGCGCTAGCGGGTGACCGTGGCGTTGCCCAGGTGGCAGTGGGTGCTCCACACCCGTTTGGTGTGCCCCAGTTACCTGCTCCAAAATAGAAAAAATTGTTTCTGAGTTCAATGGGGAAAGGGTAGGCAGGCAAGTGGAGGAGAAAATGAGAAAGGATTTGCATTGGAGCAGGTTTCTCTTTAAAACAGGTAGAAAGGAGGAACAAACTCTGGCAGAGAGGGGGTCTGGGGGGGCTGTTGAGTGCTGGCGGGCATGGAAAGGTCGTGATGCAGCGATGGGAGGAAGCAGCCAGGGCCGCGAGGAAGCAGATAAGAGGCTCTCTCTCGCCATGCTCCCACTCTTCCCCTCCATGGACCCCCCCTCCATCCTGTGGTTGTTCACTCCCCCCACCCAAATACAGCCTGGGCATGCAGACCTGGGGCTCTGCTCCCTCCTGGGGCTCGCTGCCATCTGCCAGAGGCAGATTTCTGTGGCAGCCCCTGTCCCACCTCCCCACCTCCCACTGCTGGAGCAGGGATTCCCCCACTGCAGAGATTTGCTTCAAAGCAAAGTTTGCCATCAATATTTGATGTAACGCTCAAGCCCTTTCCCCCCAAGACACCTTAGGGATTGTAAACCCGAGGCAGCTGACCCTCGGGTTTACACCCGCTCCTGCAGCATCGCCTTCTGCGAGGGAAGGGCAATCCACCTGTGGAAGGGAGCCCTGGGCTGGGAAGTTGTCAGAAAGTGATAGAATCCCACGCTGCTGCTGGCATACGCACTTGCCCGGGGGTGGATGCGGCCCTGGGGCGAGCACCCGCTTCTGCAACTATCTTGGCACTGGAGTGCGCTGCTTTTCTCCCCTTCACTCCCCAGCTCCTCAAAAAAATTGTTTCTAGATGTTCTGAGCCTCGTGGGTTTGCCTGGGGGTAAGTCTCAGCCCCACTCAAGGGTAATTTCAGAAGGAGCGAGGAGGGAAGAGCATTGCAGGGAAAAGATGGAAAAGATGCTCCTTTTGCACTGCCAGAAAACCCACCTGCTCCGAGCAGCCCTGGCACCAGGCTGGTACCCACGGAGGACAAAGTCTGTGCCACTTGTTGCTGGGGAGAGGACAGCCGGGCCTGTGGCTGGTTTGGCTGGACACTGCCCGTTTCACAGCACGCAGGGTTCAATATCAACCACGATTTATTTTATATAGCACAGGAGTGATGCCATCTTGTGCTGCTCAACCAAGCATGGCAGGGAACAAAGAGCCCCGTTAGAGCCTGTATGCCCAACTCATCACCCTCCCTTCTTGCAGGCTATGCCAGCAGCTCTGTAGTTCATGCTTTTAGCAGCACTTGGAATACAGCACTTTATTTCAGGGCACTACTGGCTGACACGGGGAGTTGCCTGTGATAGAATAACAGCTAACACTTGCTGGAGCATCCGCTGGGGATGTGATTTGGGTTTTAATAAAAATATTATTAAATATTTCCTCTGCATTAGGAAAACAGTCCCAGATTAGGGTTTCCCCGGATCAGTGTGATAAAATATTTTAGCAATCTGTTTTTCAGTTTACCATGAAAACAAGAGACCTGGCAAAACATGGGGGGGGGGGAATGTGAAAAAGGGGGAACATGAGAGGGTGGTCAGAGCCAAAAGGCCGAGCAGATGTCCGAGATAAAACTGCTGTGAAATAAAGCTGGAGCAGGGCTACAGCTCTGCAGAGCATCGGCGATGTTGTCGTTCATCAGAATTCTTGCTGGGTGATAAGCTGGGTGGAGCAGAAGGGTTTTATGACCAACCATTAGGTGACTTGTGAAGTGCGCGGATTAATCCTTGTTCATAAAATACAAGGACGTGTCAAATTGAAGCGTACATCCTCGCTACACTATCTAAGCTGCTGACACGATTGTTCGTGTCTGTAAATGGGAGGAAGGAGTTGGTTTTGTAGGGAGAAGGCTTTGTAGCCGTAGTGTGAGGAGAGCCTGACACACAGTAACATCGGGGTGAGGCGGGTTGTTATTTCCTTGTTTCAGCTGAGAGATAACAAAGCAGCAAACAAACATAAGGCATCCCAGCTTGGGCAGGTCATGTTCCGTGGAAATTTGCTGTGTGCTTATGGGGCAGAACACAGAAATAAGAGTCTGTTACGTCCCGCTGAGTAGGGTCTGTATGGGTTTAAACCCGAGGAAAGAAGTGGAGGTTGAGGGCTGGGACTGTTAACCTTCCTTCATGCACTTCTAGTCTAGGTCTCTATAGTTGATGCCTGTCGCCAATTCCTGACGATGATACAGACTAAAAATAGCCAGTAAGGATCATAACGGTGCTGAAGTCATATACCAAACAAGTCACTGTTCAAACTGTAGTCAGTTAAAGTATTTACGATACACTTAGTGAATGCACACCTTGGCCCATCAGACCAGGAAGCTCCCAATTCTTTTTTCTCAAAACTGGCTGAGGGGGTAAAAACAAACCGCGGGAGGCCGGAGCTTGAGAGGAAGAACAACATGATCTGTTTGTCAATATTTAGCTTGTATAAGAGGTGTTGTGACTATTTTTGTAGACGACATTTGCACTGAACCCTCGAACACCTTCCTTTTGCCATCTCTTTTTCAGGCTACTGTTATGTTACCTCTTAATACTCTGGATTTTTGGGCATCTTACCCTGAGGAGTGAACCTGCCTCCCCTCACAGACTGTGAGCTATAAATGTCCTAGTGCTGTCCCTACCTTGCCTGTGTACCACTCTCCTTCTTTGATTACTTGTTTAATTTACCTAACGAGTCACATCTTTCTCTACGCTGAAATGGTGCCTCGCCCAGCACAAAGACCTGACAGGAGGATACTACCACAACATGAAGTGTCAAGCAGACAAAAAATTTAGTTTAGACAAAGCATGGGGACACTTACAGGGTGGTTTTTTTCTACACTTAAATCCAAGTTTGGTCTTTTCTTTAATCTCTGTGTTAACAAAAGGAGAAAACTTGCCGGTGGAGGCAGGCAGTGTGATGGTGTCACGCTGTTTGTTTAGGCTGCCCACTCATCCTTCTACTTCTCTCCTTCTCGTTGCATGTGACATCAAACCTGCCTTGAAAGCACTGAAAAGGAAATAACTAAAAATGCTTTAATATTCTGATGGATTGAAGACACCCTGAAAGCGCTGGATGCAAATCTAATCTCACTGCCACCCAAATCCAGTGAACTGGGGAGAAATCCTGACGGTTTCCGCAGACTTTTAGCAGGACGCTATTTCCCTTCTGCACGCTTCGGCTGTGAGCGGCAGGAGAGGACGATACCAGGGGTCAGCCGTTACGTCTCTAACCCCGTTATTTCAGATCAGCCCAGGCCAGGGGAAGGTGGGAGAAAAAAAATTCCCAAGTTTTGCCAAATGCTGGCATCGCCCTGCCTCCCACCTCTTGCCGTTTAGGCTGAGAACGGGTGGTTGGCAGCACGTCTTACTATTAGCTATTGCGCAACCCGTGGCAAACGCGTGCTGTGAAATCAGAGCGTCTGGATGTCTCAAAGCCCTGCAGCAGAGCGGCTGAGAGCGGATCAGCCGGGAGCGTCACGGGAAAAGCACTGAAAACTGGCCACGGTGCGGCTGTGACCAGGCTGAAGAATCCCCTTTGACTGTCGAGGCTTTCAAACAGACGACAGAGCAAGTCCAGGCAGGGTCTGTAGTACCAGCTCTCACCAGAAAAGTGGTCTGCCGAGGTCAGGCGATTCCTGCGCCCATCACGGTGCACCTAAGCCCCGAAATGCAGAGGAGACGGTCAGGAGCATCACTCACAGTCTTCACCTATTCCCATTTTCTCTTGACTTTCTACCAGCCGTCACTCTTGCTATTACCCCAGGCCCTACCGCATCCCTTCTGCAAATCGCTAACACGGAATAAATGAAAATATAGTTTGGGCCCTCCCTGATCCACAGCAGATGTCTGCCCTTAGGAACCGGTACCAAGGCAGAGTCCCACGGCAGCGGTACCGGGGCCGGTTCCTCGACACTCGGCAGCGAGTTGACGGGAGCAGCCTGATCGCTGGCTGAGCCCCCACCCAACCCGGAATAGCCCCCTCCAGACCCTGCTGTGCCTTCACTTCCCTTTCCAATTTATGAGGGTTGCTATGGGCTGGCGGGAAATCTGGGAGTCGTCTGCGCTGCCTGGGAAGTGGGTGACCAGCGGCCACGCAGAGGGGGCACAGCCCAGGGCTGAGCCCCTCAGGGGGATCGGGGCTGGATCCCTCCGTGGGATGGGGGCTGGATCCATC